CTAAATCAGCCCTGGCTCATCAGCAGACATGTGAGCAGCCCGCTGCACATACATCCTTCGCCCAGGGTTTAAAGATAGCACTTGAAAGAGCATGGGTTGAAGTCCTTGTGCAGTCGGGCCAATTTCATAGTACTCACCTTCCTCCAGCAAATTTGTAAGATGTTGCATCTTCATATCAAAGTCTGGTGTGCGCTGGCGCTGGGTGGATTGCACCTTTTGCTTCAGAGAATCTCGGAACTTCTGAAAGTACTCACCCTCAACCAACATGCTGTCATGCAGCCCTCTGTAAACCTGCCCAAGGATATTCGACATCAATTCAGTTCTGTTCCGATAAGGAAGGCTGGTGAGTTGGCCCAGGTTGGCCAGCAATTCTGGCAGTTGTGCAACAAATCGCTCATCCCTCAAATCTTTGTTCTGGAGGCGACGAATCTCAGCACTGACCGCTGAGACAGAAGCAGCGCGGCCCCTCCCCACCTTCACAGAAATCAAATGGTGACGACTCTCCAACCCTTGAAGCACAAGCAAAGAAGTTCCGTAGCAAAGTAGCTCTTTCCGAAGAGCAGGTCCAAGATTACCTTGAACAGGCACCGGCGCCGGCACCAGTCATGCCATGTATACACCACCATGGTAAAAAGAGTAGTCATATATAGATATATATATATATACATACATAGTTCCAGTAATTACAATAGAGTCATGGAATATTATAGATAGTGATACAGTAGTATATATATACTGCATAATATATACACATGTTTCCTTGAACCAATGCAAGTTGTTGTGGCGTTTTTTTGTTGTGAATCAATACACCCCACAAGCATCAAAGCAGCAGCCAAGGCACCTCCACTGCAAAAAGCGACAAGTTCATCTCGCAGATCAGCTGTGAGAAACCTTGCTTCAACAACGGTCATGAGATCTGCTGAAGATGGATTGTCAAGCAGCTGCTGCGCCGCGTGTCTGCTTCTTGCCAATGCTGGCTCTCCCTAAAGGGCTCATTCATCAAAAAACGGTCAGCCAGTTCAAGTTGAAACCTAAGCTAAGCCTATCCTAACTTTCAATTTTCTTGTGAAAACTCAATCTTTGCAGGAGCTATCTACTATCTACAACCCCAGATTTGGTCCAAGTTTATTTGGCAACACTTGCCTCCACAACCAAGCACTCACCGATTTGCAGAAGACTCCACGGACGTTCTGTCCAGCACGAGAAATGCTGTTCAATCCGAAGCAGCATGTTGCATTTTGCTGTGTTCCATTCGTTCAGCAAAGACGTTGCCTTTTCCGGATCAAACTTGGACAACTCAGTGTGGGCCTCTCTGCCAAGTTCTGTCAGTGTTGCCCTGGACAAAGACTCCCGGAACTGACTGGACCGTCCAGCAGCCAACTCAATTGCACGACGGCCCTTCAGCACACAATGATTCTTGCCCTTGGAGTCTGTACATGGCTTTGGATTAGGGCACGGGCACCCTGACATCCAAGTAAGAACACCATGACCCCACTCAGCTAGCGAATCAACCATTTTGGCCATGCACCAGAAAAGCCTTGACAGGTTTGCCAAATCTTCCCCAGTAGAATCCGGTGTAGCAGAGCCGCCCACCAGACGAAAGAGCTTAATTTCCTCTTGGTCCATGTCCCGATCTTGCAGGTCTTGGAAATTGATGCTAGGCTGCAAAGCTTGAATTGGCTTTTGACGAGGAATGATCCACCGCAAAACATCTCGCCTAAGAAATGAAATGCCACCCAAGAACCAAACTTGACTTAACGTTAAACGCATATGGGTTGCCTTGGCCTTGGCCACTCATTTTTGACTTAAGAGGAAACCTGAAGCCCCAAAAAGAAAGCAAAACAAGCTCTCTTGACTGCTCATCACGGGTCACAAATATTCCCAACGCTGCTCTTGTAGGGTTGGGCAGGTCGTTTTGAACATTCTGCTGAAGGAATTTCTCAACACACCAGAAGTGAACATAGGATTGCGCTCAATCACCACAGACTGGAATCGGCGTAGACGTCCCCAGTTCGAAAAGAACTTGCTGACGGAGTGCAAGGTCTTGTGGAACCACTCCCAATCTTCAAAGGCACTGGTCATACTGAGCATCGTGTGGTGCATTGCCTGGCTTGACAAAAGACTTGTAGTAACTTGATTCAGAAAGTTAGCAGGAAGTTCACATAAAGCCTTTTGCCTGTTAAAAAACTTATCAAAAAAATCGGATACGTTCGATCTTTAGATATGACACTACTCTACATCAGGTTTGAAATCAATGAATTCCAAAAGGATAGAATTCCAAAAGGATAGCATTATATTTACTATGTTTGTAACAATGTATCCTATACTCGACTATACATACAAAACAAAACTAAACATTGATTAATGACCTGACCAAGCTTCGTGATCATAATCTCCAATTGGCAACGCTCGTGGACAAAGCCTGGATATGTCTTCAGTGTCAGCATCTGGCTCAAGCGGTGACAATTGTATCATGTCTAGTGGCTGAGCAGGGGCGACTCCCTCGCTCTCAAACAAAGCCACAGTTGAACCCGGCGCTGTCGCCTCAGGTGCTTTAGTCCTCATAGCAGGGGCAGTGAAAAGTGTCCGCTCTGTACCCATATCAAAAGCTAAGCTGTAGCACCGTGCCAGCGTGCAGTCAATGTCCTCAGTGTCAGCCCCGAGAGCCATCATCAGTCTGAGGGCCTTGTGTGCGGCTGAAGCTGCTCGTCCACCAATCAACTGCACTGGAAGGATACGCCGAGACAAATGCTGTCGCATATCTGGCAATCGTGTCAAGTCAGTAATGGATTGAAGGTCCACATGATCGATCTCTGTGCAAAAATAATCCTTTCCGAATTGTGGACTTGCGTCTGATCTGATATGGCATGCCCACAGGCTTGGACCAGAGCGAGCAAAGTAGTTCTTCCTGGAAAAAACCATTGTGCAAAGGTCCAGCTCAAGACGGAACCGGTACAGAGTGGCTTTGGAAGGAATGTTCGCACCACCTGCCAAGTCAAGGTGCCTTGACAATTCATCAGACAAAGCCAAGTCAAGACTTTGCTTCACAGCATCAGGCATCAAACTCATGTCCTTCAAATGATCCGACAACAAGACAGTGGCCAGCATGTGCCTTGGTGTATACTGCAAGCCTCCACCTTTTCTAGAGCTTGTTGTCTTCTTATTGCTTGTCAAGCAGTCTGTGAGCTGATCCAACAAAGTGATGGCCTGTGCCAGCTGCGCATTTCCAGCAGACAAACTAGAGGAGATGTGTGAGTGACATTGTGCAAGCAGTTGCCAAATTTGATTGCCTTCTCCAGACCCCGACTCTGACCTGAATGAAGCTACCATATCTGCCACTTTGGGGGTTGCCCACAAAGTCGGTTCACCGACCAGGGCTACCCCCATAGTGCCATAATCAACCACACGACCCGCTGACTGCTCGACTTCTGATAATGTCAACGGCTTCCCAAAACAAGCGTCCTGCCCGTAAGTGCAAACAAACATAGCGGTCATTGCCATTTGCATTGCGCCGCTGACACCAGCTGTGTGCCTAAAGTGCTGGGCGTCCACTGGCGGAATCAGGTGCATGTGCCTTTTGCCTAAGGCAGACACTTTGCTTGGACACGGCTCCAAGAAAGACCACTTCCCAATTTCCTCAAGTCAGGCATGAACATGAACCTACACCCTACACCCTTGTAGCTCTGTAACCCTCAACCCTTGACCGCCTCAGCCTCGACCCCCAACTGGGCTCCCAACCTACTTGACGGAATTGTATTCTGAATTCTGAAAAACTATATGCAGCACTTAGTTTTCCAAGCTGTTGACGTTCAAGATAATGTCACAGGGTCTCCAGCTGCACCATTAGTTTAACCCTGAAGGCAAAACACACCAGTTACCAGCTTAACCTCAACCAAAAGTTTACAGAACAGACTCAGACTTGAACAAACAAACTTACTGCTCCCTGTTCTCGGCTGAGGGTCTCTGTGAATTGAATCTTTACCTCTTTTTACAGCTGCTATTGCCACATAGTTGTCTGTGCAGCTGGCGGAGGTCTTCTTTCCCTTGTAGATCACCCAGAAACTTAGTTGCCAAGGAGTCAGAAATTGAGTTAAGTTCCCATTACAAAACAAAAGGAAACAGAGAGTCAGTCAGAAGGGGAGAAAGGGAGAGTGACAGTGAGACTCGTGAGAGAGTCTGAGTTTGAGAGAAGCAACATAACAAAACCGTGCCAAATAAAGCAAGCTGCAAGTCAGGTAAATCTGGTACGCCCTTTGTACACTGTGCGCCACTATCCAGCAATGAAGATGGCAGCACCAGTGCCATGACATGGCTGAGACTGAGAGAGAAGTTAATGAAGTCAATGCCTTGTTCACTTGTTCTGGCTCTGTGCTTTGTATTGGTTGGCCTTGCCATTTGCTACTCTGGGCCCGAGTTTTAGCCTATCCTCAACTCCTCAGGATTTGTGATTCCCTTCGTGTTTGATGTGGCAACTTGCAGCCCTGGCGAGTTCTGATCCCACCACTTCTTAGCAAGTTCACAGCGCAACTAAATGATGTTAAACACCTTGGGCAGGCAAATGCCCTTTTAACACATAATGGGCTTTCAAACGTTATATTTTCAAGTTTGTTGTTTTTTTGCCTTTTTATCTGAAGACAGTTTGCCGAAATACAGCTCGCGAGAATTAGTACATTGAAGCCACAAAAGTTTCCAGCAAAAGCGGAGACCATGAAGCTGAGCCTGCCCCGTTCTTGAGCTTCGGTAGTGCACCCTCTGGCCCAACAGGGTTCCGTAGCAAGCCGTGACGAAAAAGGGGCGGCTGAGCCAGGACAGGGGCTCTGACACGGGTCTGAACCATGTGTTCTCGCTGTGGTCCTAGTGAGGCCAACTACAGTTGACGGGTCGTCTAATTCCATAGCATGTGGTGCTCTGTATTCTGACAAACTTGCGTCTTGTTGGGAGTCCTGGATTATCAACCTCAGCTCAAAGCCATCTTGTCTGCTATGAACATGGTGCCACGCCTGGATCGTCTGGTAGGACAATAACAAACCAGTCCTTCGCAACGAGGTGCCCATCTTGGTGATACCTCAGCAAACACCAACATTACCGCACACAAATGCCGTTCAAACTTCAAGCCCAACAAAAAATTGGTTGTGTAACTGTAGTTTCTGATCTGTCTGGCTAGAGTCACCAGTCACCAGCAGTCCCAATCCTGACCACACCCAGCAGCACAAGGCTGTCTCATTACACCACTTTGCTTCATGATTTGACTTCACCTTTGGAGGGAGTAATAGGATGTAATATGTAACCGCCTCCTCAGGAAAATCTCCGGCAAGAAAGCAAGCATGAAGCTGGCATTGAACAAACGGCTTGTGCCAAGGGACACCTTCTCCAAGCTGAAGGTCACTTGACCCAGTTTCACCTTGAAGCCAAAGCTGTTCCTGAAATGGACATGATTGTCGAAAGTCTTGACAATCATGCTCTAGAAACTGTGCTCAGTCGAAATCTCAGCATAGCCACCCAAAACCAACGGTCAAAGAGCTTGCCAAACAGTCCGGCGTTCATTCTTGAGTGTTCTGTGCAAATCCGAGGTGGTTTGGGGCCTCTAGTTGCGGTAGTTGCGGCTCAAGCGTGGTTCTAAAGCTAAACAAATGAGGTCACCTAAGCCTGGCGTCTTCTGATGGTACACGGCTATGACAGCGTCCCCTCCAGTGAAGTCGTCTTCGCTCATGTGCCGGGAGAAGCCTGACAGTGCGCCACAAGAAATCTCTATCTCCGTCTTTGTTTCTGCTTGGTTTCTCCCTGTGGCACACTTTTTGTGTTTTTTTTGGTTTCGGCTTTTCACTGTGCGTCTCTCTCTCTCTCTCTTTCTCTCTCTCTCTCTCTTTCTCTCTCCCTACTGCTGTCTCGAGTTTTTTTTGGGCACGCGTGGAGACAGAGTGCCTGAAGGAGTCAAGCCGTGTTTCAAGTCTAGAATTGACAAAGCTCCTCTACAGGTCCTGATCTGCTAATCCTGCTCCACTAGCCGCGCGCACCATGGATTTTTGAAGGACACTGGACACTCATGATCTTGTGATACGTGAGGAGTCAAATTTGATATATATTCAAAACGCTGGGAAAAAATCGGGAAGGTCTACACTCTACACATGATGTCGGCCTTCGTCTAGCGAAATTGGCTGCATGATGTTTGAAGGGTCCACAAGTGCCTTCATGGATGATAGGGGTGTTTGTGGAATTGTGTCGAACAGAATGTAGGCCAAGGTGCTATAGAAGTTGTTGAAGGTGCATGCAGAAGCGCCACTGATGACCTTCAATCAATCATCAATCATCAAACAAATTGTGCTCGCAGTAAAAACACTATGGGCAAAGGCTTGCAGCAAGATCCCCGCACCAAAACAAACCGCCATGCGGCCATGCAGTTGGAAAACCAGGCTTGAAAATGTTCCAGGCTGTTCTCCTTTTGCAAAGAGAGAGCCATTTCATTCAGTTCAAATTTAGTTCACAAATGTTAGTCCACCGGGACTTCATCGACTTGGAGTACGGCTTTTGAGATCTCCCTTCGTACTTTCAGCAGTTTCCACCTTCCACCGGATGGTGGAAGCGTGCCACTCCACCTCAATTGATCTGAACATGCCCGGCAACCAACCGATATCCATCTATTCTCAACTTTGACCGGCTTGAAATCATTCAGGCCCGACGCCCTGTGACAGTTTGCATGCACATGTGTCTACATATGCGCACACTCAAATATGTGTTTACTTGATCAATAATGTATTACCTCACCATATGTTGGACCATCTGGTCCGAATGACTCGTTTGCAGACTTTATATACTATTCATTTACATTCATTTACCACCAAATATACACATGCCACACGTCGATGGATGCCGTCTGCCTGGGTTGTCTTCTTCTCTCCCAAGCAATCGACCTCCACATACGGGTTGGGCATGCCCGCCCCATCGCCGGGCACTTTGAGACCTTGCGTGCCACAGGACAGCTTTGGAACATGCTCTGCAACGACCCGCAACAAACTCAACAAAGGCAAGCCACCTGCCACGGCAAACACCTCAGTAACTTTGGCTCAGTGGTGCGTAGGACCAATGCATGAAATACATTGAAATACATTGAAATACCGTCTCTCGTCAAAAGGGTCCACAAATGGGAAAGGGCAAAAGCAAGTCTTCCAAGAATCCTTATGCCTATGGCAGTCCAGCAAGGTGGGTGCTTTCTCCGCAGCCGTTCGGTGTCCCACGCGTGACTCCGTAAAGATCGAAGAATCTGTGACATCCAAGGTACTGAGACATTGACCAAATACTCGGATCCCATGGCTGCTGCTGCATGAGGTCATGAGCGCGAGCTCAACGGTCACGCCAAGGGCCGTGGAATCTGTGTGGAGGACTTCAACAGGTCTTCAATGGCAATGAAACAAATTCCGAAGTCCAAAAATCCAAGGGAGTCAATTAGGTTTGCGACAATAAAAGTAGAAGTGGGGAGTGCATTGCTGTGAGATAAGTATATACTACTTGTTTCATGGTGTTCACAGTTCTGCACCATTCCAAGGAGGCATTTGCCTCTCCTACGCCAGGGATTGCAATGGAGGGAATGCAATGATGGAGCATTACCTCCCTGGTGGGCTGCCCCTGGGCAACTAGCCCCACACCTTAGCTCATAATAGACTCTACATGATAAAGTCACTGGTGGAGAAGCGAGCGTCATAAAGTTCAGGTCTGCACACTTTGACCGCCCCATGACCATGTGCGACCATATCTTATCAACACATGTATTGAAATTGGGGCAAGCTAAACATTCTAAACGCCAAGGAAAATACAGTGGCTCACAACGTCTGTGCTATTCAGCATTACCACAAATGCATTGGAAACACATTCCATCATTTTTTTGGTCTGCAGCGTGCTTCTAGGTTGGCAACTATATAAACCTCTACATAACTACATTATACGTATGATTTTACAATATTTTACATGATGTGTCCTTAATCCTTATTTTTATAGCCTTCTACCTCGACATGGGTTGGGTGCAAGTTCTCTGGTGACTGCACAGCCTCTTCTGTGAAGAAGCGCTGACAGTCCCTCTAATTGGTTGGCCAAGACGCGATGAATACTCTTCTACATCGAATTCATGGTATTGGCATCTGTCAAGCTTGACGTGATCCTGCCCAAACCTGTTGTCATTTCTTTTGAAACGGGTCTTCCCTCAAACGTGTAGTGCATGATACGAGCATGATGCAGCATGGCCCACGGACTCCCGCTTAAGTGAAACAAACACAGGGGTTGGTGTTCAGAATGCTTGCGTCACGACTCAAGGCACGGGCTCGAGACGAGGGATAAGACTGCCATCGAAGGCGGACCTTGGCAAAAAGGTCGAGAATGCCCACAGGCTTGCCCATCAACAAGTGCCAGTCTATCATTAATGGTCTACGTAGCACTGGGGCATTTGCTTCCAACCCTCGCCCTCGCAGGTCTCAAATGGAAACATTCCCACCCCTCCAAAGGAACTAACATGCACATAGCAAAACTGCCTATGCCTTATTAGCCAGGGAATAACTTGCCGTGAAACAACATGTGCAACTTAACCTGCAAAACAATGCAACACATGTTTGAATCTCGCACAGTTCCTTTTCGCAGCAGCGAATCAGCTCAAGGGCCCTGTTCAGCCGAAACAGCAGCGACGGTGCATCAACTGTACGCAATACACCCTGGCTACAACAGCTGAAATTCACACCCGTCTTATCTACAGGTGTGTTGCGGGCTTTACAGTTCAAGTTGTACAAAGGCAGCCAAGCAACTCTATTCCCCGTGGGGCCGTAAACCATGCCATTCCATGTCGAATTCTCAAAACAAGTCAGGTGAGACTTCTTCATCTTTCTTCTTGGCTCCCTTCTCGCATGCGCCACTGTTCTCGACATTCACAAGGCCACTTTCCAGTGTCTTGAGGAGGTAGTCCGGCTTCATGCTCTTGGTTAGCGGGTCTGCCAATTGCTTCGATGTCTCAATCCACCTCAGGTGGTCACCATAGGGACTGTAGATCTCTGATGTTTTCTCGCCACTCACAGTCCACACTCCTTGCCTCAATGCGGCAAGTTCTATGCCAAGCCTCTTGTCTTGTACTTTTCTTGGAACTTCTGCCAGTAAATGGTCCGATAAGCTCCTGCAATCCGTGTAGTACACGTGTGCCATTCGTCTCTGAGTTTCTTCATGCCAGTTCTTGAAGTCATCAAGTCGTCCGGTCAACTCACAAATCAGGCATCGTAGACGATCTCCATGTTCGACTGCAGTTTGCAGAGCGTATGCTTCTGCTTGCAATGTAGCACGACACACCCTTTTGAGGGTGGTTGAACCAAAGCTGATCAGATGCATTCTGTGACTGCCTTCCTTGAGGCTGCTCGCGTTCGTTATGTAGTGAATGCGGCCTTGCTGGCTCTTGAAGCCTTCTTCATTTGCGAAACTTGCGTCGCTAAATGTCACAACTGCCAAATCGCTCCAAGTCAATCCAATCACTCTTGAAGGTGATCTGCAAGTCACTTCCTTGAAGTGCCAATTCAACAACCTTGTTGGCGTTCTTCAAGTCTTGCACTGTTGCCTTTGCGCTACATGCACGCTGCATCTCATTCACACGGTAACAAAGGTCTGGTCTTCCATAACGAGCAACCCAAGCCAAACTACCAACAACGCTCCTGAGGCTTGTCAACTCCTTCTCTGTCACCTTTTCCGACAGCTTCCGATGCTTGTCGATTTCGATCGGCTTCACTGTTCTGCAGTTTTCACTTGTAGAAATGCTCACGGAGTAGTCCTCATGCTGTACGAACTGACGTCCGCAGTATCGGAACTTTCCCGATTCTGTTTTGCCAATCGTGAACCTTTTGAGGATACCTTCAATTGTCTTCTTGCCTTCGTCAAGGTAGCAATACAACAAGTCGTCGACATGTGTCGCGACCATGCCTATCAACTTTCCCTTGGAATTGTGCAAATAGTACAATGCAGGTGTAATGCGACTGCACTTCAACCCGGCACTGGTGATCTCACCATTCATCCTCAAGTAAAAGCCTCTGCCTGCGTCGATCGTGCCGTAGATCGGAAGGCGTGCAACCAACATTGCATCCGGTGGAACATCCGGGCTTGGAATTCCACCACGTGGCTGTTTGAGCAACAGCAATCTCGTCATTGGCTGACTCTGAAAATACGCTGAGGAAACATCTGCCGCGTACAGGGTCACACGATGGCTTGATGCGAAGCTTGCAATCAACATGTGTCCTTCAGTCTCAGCAGTGGGGCTGTCGCAGCGAATACCTTGTGAATCACGACTCACTTGTTCGTGATTTCCACAGGCTACTAGCCGAGATCTGTTTTCTGGCTGATGCTCAGGCGTACCTGTCAGGTGAGCTTGCTTATCCACATCTACCCATTGCATAGGAATAGGAACATGCCCTTCTTGAAGTAACTCTTCTAATTCCCTGCCTCGAATAGGCATTGCAGCATTGAAGCTCCTATATTTGCTCCACTCTGCACGACGTGCATCCAAGATGCGAGCTTGCATCTCGGGAGTGCATCGATCGTACTGCAGCGTCTTTGCCACCTTGCCAACCTGCGTCTCACTGTTTTCTCCAAAGCGTTGAGCCACGAAGGCTCGAAACTCTGCAGCATCGAGTTCAGTGTCGTCAGCAGCGGCCATGGCGATCAACGGGTGTTTTACCCGTGTAAAGATTGTGAAACCTGTCCACGCGCGAGAATCAACATCATCCATGCCCGGCATGGACTCGCTGGTCATTCGACTTCCGTCTTCATAGACTTTTCTGGTTACGCGTCTTCCTCCGAATCCTTCCGGAACATCTCCGTCATGCAGCGGATGGAAGTCATGGAATCTCCTCTTGTTGTGAACACGAATTGCATGGTTCTCAGAGATTCTCCAATGGTCTTCATTGTCAACCATTGCAAGCATGACCTCATCATCACCACCAATGCCTCCGGGGGTCATCGGAACTGCGACTGCGCTTCCACTCGCGCTTGCAGATGATCGGGCAGCCTTGCCCGTCTTATCTTCTGCTTGTGCTTCTCTCTTCTGTCCCTTCTTAGGGCTTGCTTCTTCATCCATCATTCGGATGTACTTCTGCTGTCCCAATGTCACTGCCTCCGGGAATACTGGGATGTTGTTCAAAATAGAGTAGGCCAAAGATTCACTCTCATTGGCTGATCTGAGTTTTCCGGCGGCACACAAAATAGGAATACCTTCATGTAGCAACCAGATGCCATTATGCGGGTCGATGCCAATCACACGCGAAGCAGTGGACCACACGGTTCCACCTTGCTGGGTGTCTCGACGGTAGACCACAAGGTCTCCAACCACAAATGACTTCTTGTTCTGGACTGCAGCATTCCTGGTCAATGCTCTTGCAACACGGGAGCTTGTATCCAAATGAAAAAAAGCCTTTTGTGCAGCCATACGGGATGCATGACACAAATGATAGCTAGCTGCAGGGTCAAGCTTGTTCTCCAAGATGCCCAAGTTTCCTGCCTCATCCATATCTGTCACAGATCCTGGAACTCTTGGGTTCCTACCCAGGACCCATTGTGCTGGAGAATAGCCTTGGACTCTTTGCATGTGGTTCTTCACGGAAGTGCATTCGTGCAAACATGTTTCAAACGCATTGCGACCAACGGCTTCCATGTCATGGATGGTCTTCCTGAGAATTGCCTTCAAGATACCTTGGTGCCTTTCAACCTTGCCAATGGCTGATGGGGTTTCCAATGGTGCATAGAAGATCTCAACACCATGCGAAGCGAACAGCTTGGATACCTCACCTCGGTTGTGGACACCTCTATCCATGATTGCAGCCTTTGGAAAACCTGCCCAACTGATCCATCTGCGTAGGATGGCTTGTGCACAGGCTTCTGACGTTGGCATACCTCCACCTTCTTTGACAACCTCTGACAAATG